CTCTCTGCCCACTTTTTTTTTTTTTGGCCAAAGGGTGCATGTATTTGCTAGAGAAAGACTAGAGCACCAAGAGAGAAAATGGTAAATCATCTTCCATGGGAATGGTCATCCCATAATATCCTCCCCTCTACTTCTCCTTCCCTTCGAGGTTTTAGGCAGAACACATATGTGTCCAGCATATTTTTCAAACCACTAGGTCAGGACTCGAAACACCCAGTCAGCCTTTGTGGGATCCAGCTGCTGCCCTGAGTTGCTTTTTTTTTTTCCTTTTTTTTCCGTTTTGCTATAGAACGTGTGTGTTTGCTGGAGAGAGGTGGGAGGGAATGAGACATCCCCCCTGAAGTATAGGCATGCATGCACATGTTCCCAGTGTGTTTTTCAAGTTGCTGGGTCTGGGACTTGAACCACTTAGTCAGCCATGTGGGACTAAGCCACCTTAATCACTGTGCCCTCTGCTAGTGCAAGTTGTTCCCTTAAATTGGGTTGTTTGTCATTTTGTAGATGGGTTGTATGTTCTGGATAGTAGACCTTCGTCATATGTATGATTTACAAGTATTTCCTCTCATTGTGTAGGATTTCTTTTCACTTTCTTTCCTTTTTTTATTTTATTTTTTGGAGAGATTTTCGCTATATGGTACGTGCGCTCGCCAGACAGACAGAGACATAGAAACAGAAAGCGAGAAATCACCCCCCGGGGGTGATGGTCACGCCGCAGTCCCTTCCCCTCCATTCTCCTCTTCCTCTCGGGATCTTGGGCACGCACGCACACGCGCCCAGCGTCAGTTTTAAGCCACCAGGTCCGGGATGTGAACCGCAGTCAACTACATGGGAGTTCAGCGACATAGCCATTACGGTAACCGCTGGTTCCCACTTTCTTTTCTTTTCTTTTTTTTTTTAAAAAAAGAGAGAGAGATTTAGCTATAGGGCAAAGAGACAGAAGAGAGACAGAACGTGAAAATTTATCCTCTGGGGGATGGCCACACTGCAATCCATCCTCCTCTCTGGATTTTTGGCACACGTGCACACACACATACCTGGCGTGAGTTTCAAGCTGCTGGGTCCAGGACTTAAACTGCCATCAACTGTGTGGGAGTTGAGCAATGTAACCATTACACCATATGCCGGTTCCTCTTCTCACTTTCTTAATAATGTCCTTTGACATACAAATATTTTTTTAAGAGAATTTTGCTATAGGGCATGTGTGCTCACTTGAGAAACAGAAAGAAAGAAAGCAAGAAACCACCCCTCTCCCCCCCAGAGAGTGTGGCCATACCATAATTCTCCATTTTCCTCTTGGGATTTTGGCCATGCATATGCACCCAGTGTGAGTTTCAAGCTGCCGGGTCTGGGAAACGAACTGCAGTCAGCTCTGTGGGAGTCCAGCAATGTAACCATTATGCTATCTGCTGGCCCCAACACACAAGTTTCTAATTTTGATAAATTCTGTATTTTTTTCTTTTGCTGTTCATTCTCTCTCTGTCTCTCTCTCTCTCTCTCTGTCTCTCTCTCTCTCTCTTTTTTTTTTTTCCCCCAAAGAGAGACTTTTGCTACAGGGCACGTATGCTTGCTGGAGAGACAGACAGACAGAAAGTGAGAAATCACTCCTGAGGAGTGATAGCCATGCAGCAATCCTTTCTCCATTCTCTTCTTGGGATTCTGGGCACACGTGCCCACACACATGCGCGTACACACCTGGTGTGAATTTTAAGCCACCAGGTCCGAGACTCGAACTACAGTTGACTTCGTGAGAGTCCAGCAACATAACATTTCTCTGATCCCTTGCTACTCATGCTTTTGATGTCTAAATCTATCAAATCTGATGTTTTATGTCTTAATTTTCTTTTTATAAGTATATTTATAATCCTGCATTTTAGTTTGGAAAGTATTTGCTTTTATAAATAGTGGGTCAGAAGCTAACAGGTTGTGTGGTGGTTAAGATGTTGGACTCCCACGTGACAAATTGCAGTTTGAGTCCTAGACCTGATGGCTTGACCATGCACGTGTGCGTGCATGACCAACATCCCAGGAGGAAAATGGAGGAGAAAGGATCGTGGTGTGGTCATTTTCCCTGAAGGTGCTTTCTCACCTTCATTTTCTTTCTTTTTTTTTTTTTTGAGAGGTTTTTGCTATAGGACACATGCACTCACCAGAAAGACAGAGAGCCAGAAAGTGTGAAATCTCCCCCCAGAGGGGATAGCCACGCCATTATCCATTCTCCTCAGGATCTTGGGCATGCACACACACATACCCGGTGTGAGTTTAAGCCACCAGGTCCAGGACTCGAACCATGGTGGACTACATGGGAGTCCAGCGACATAGCCATTACGCTAACTGCTGGTCCCTCACCTTCATTTTCTTTCTCTCTTTGTCTCTCTCCCTCTGTCTCTGGCAAGTGCACACACCCTATAGCAAATTGAAAAAAAAAAAAAAAATTGGTCAATAAGGTCAGCCCGTGGCCTGGTGGTAATTTGAGCTGGATCCCATGTGGCCATTTGTGTGGTTCAAGTCCCAGACCCCATGACTGAGAAATATGCAAGGTGTATGCATGCCCAAAATCCCAAAAGAAGAGAGAAAGTTGTCAGAGAATTGATTATGTTGTGGACATTCCCCATAAGGGGTGCTTTCTTGCCTCCTTCATCTCTGTCTCTCTCTGGCAAGTACACATATCCTCTGGTAATTTAAAAAACAATAAAATGGTGGATCACACTATTGTTCTGCTTTAATTTAAGCAATTGATAAATTATTACTTTATTGTAGTCAAGCGCTTCAAAGTCACCCTACCATAGCCATTTTAATATTTTTCTGCCGAGAGAGGGTAGAGGTTGTTGTCCTCACCCTTTTCTGAATTTTTGGTCATTTCATGATTTTTTTTAAATAAAGAATTTTTTAATTTAATTTTATTTATTCATTCATTTATTTTAATTTGTCCAGAGAGAGACACATGGGGGTGGTGGGGGTGGAGTGAAAAAGCAAGCCACCAGGTCCAGGACTTGAACCGTGGTTGGCCATGTGGGAGTGTCCAGTGCGTTAAACACCATGCCATCTGCTGGTCCCCATTACTGTTGTTTTTTTTTTTTTTTCTTTTTTTAGGGTAGCTTTATTTATTAAAGCATTATGTATTTAATTTTGTTTATTGTTATTATTTTAATTTGCTACAAGGTGTGTGTGCTGACCAGAGACAGAAAGAGAGAGGAAAAATAAGAAAGCAAGCTATCAGCTCTGGGACTCAAACCGTCGCTAGCTCTGTGGGAGTCCAGCAGCCCAAGTATACCATGCCACCTACTGACCCCAGAGTAGCTTTATTTAAACACTGAGTATTCATGTTATGTAAATTAATTTTTTTTTTCCTCATTGTACTGTACTAGATGGTTTAAGACAAAAACACTCCCCCCCTTGTTTTTAAAACAGAGTAACACAGGATCTGGTGGAATGACACGACGAAATACTTACGTTTGCAGTGAAAGAACTACAGCTGATAGACACTCAGTAATTCAGAATGGCAAAGAAAACAGGTACGAAATTTTACCTGTTTGCAAGAAAATTTATGTTCTTCCCAAGAGAAATGGAAACATGTTACTTACTTCTCAGTTGTTAGAATCAAAATTCAAACAACAGTAAGTATTCTGTGAAGGTAAGTATTTTTTTGATTGCCGATTTTTAGTTAGATGCTAGGATTCCAAATTCTTCATTGCAGACCATCATCCTACTGGCTGGCTGAGTATGATGACTAAAAAGATTGACTTAAACCAGGGAAGCTTCCTAACAGAGGAGTAAGTAATCTGTGATTTCAGTGTAAAAAGAATAAATAGGGAACTGAAGATTATTTGGTACACATTACTAAAGGCTGAAGGTTGGATGTTAAGGATCTGAGTGGGGTCCTTTGGAAGATGTAGAAAGCAAGCTCGGGTGGGTGAGTGGTTGATTAAAGATTACCATTTTGCCGAAAGGTCCAGGTGGCCAGTCTGTAGCATGGTTACCACCTGCCAAAGAAACACACTTGAGAATCTAAGAGAAATGGAAGGTCCAGACTTCTGAATTTTTAGTTTTGTTTTGTCTTTTTTAGAGAGAGATTTGCAACAGGGCATGCATGGTTGCCAGATGGACAGAGACAGAAAGTGAGAAATCACCCCCAAGTGGGGATGGCGACACCACAGTCCCTTCTTCTCCAGTCTGCTCTTCGGATTATGGACATGCATGCACGTATGTCTGGCATGAGTTTTGAACAGTGGTCAACTAAGTGAGAGCCCAGCACCTTATCCACTGTGCCACCTGCTGGCCCCTTTCTGAGTGTTTTTAATGTGGTTCAGGGGCAAGTATACTTAGAATGAGTGTGATTTAAAGTGCTAATAAAATAATATATTAGTAAGAGCATCACATAATGCAGACAGCTTTCTTGGGGGTCATGAAATAAGGAAATGAATAGTCAGTAAAGTAGCATTAAGTAAGTCCAAAGACCATGAGGTAAAGTTAGTTTGGGGGAGTGAAAAAAGAGACAAGTTGGGGTTTTAGGGAATAGTTAAATATATTCTATATAGAACAAATTCCTCGGACTGGTGTAGATTTTCCTTTATTTTTGGAAGAGTCATATATAAATTATTGGGTCATCAGAAAACTCTTGACATATTTTTCTGCTTTTCTGTGCAAAAATGTTTCATGACTTTTCCAACAACCCAGTAAATTCAAACTGATGAGATTGAGTCAAAGTAAGTCTTGGATTTTTATGGTAAGAATCTCTAAAAATAAATTCATATCATCTTTTGTTGTTCCCTGGCCTCCTGATTTGAAATATTTTTTGGTCATGTCTGGGATCAAAATTGCTTTTTGTCCTATGAAACTTACTTTCTGAAATTGCATTTCATGGTTTCCAGCTCCTGTCTTATTTTTAAAAAATAAAGAATTATTTTATTTAACTTTAATTACTTAGTATTTGTCCAGCGCCCTTAACCACTATGCTACTTGCCAGCCCCAAATAATTATTCTGTTTATTTATTTATTTATTTATTTATTTTTATTTGATGAGAGGGAGAGAGAGAAAGTGAGAAAGCAAGCCACCAGATCCAGGACTCAAACCACAGTCTACCATGTGGGAGTCCAGTGCCCTTAACCACAATGCCACTCTACCAACCCAGACCCTGTCTTAAAAAGAAAAAGGCTCTGGACTTTCACATGGCTGACAGATTCTGAGTCCTGAACCCTGCAGCTTGAAACTCATGCCAGGTGCTGCATGTACTTGTGTGCCCAAAATCCCAAGAAGAGAATGGAGAAGAAAGGATTTCGACGTGGCCATCCTCCCTGGGGAGTGATTTCTTGCTTGCTGTCCCTCTGTGTCTTTCTGGTGACCACATGCACCCTATAGCAAAAACCTCTCAAAAAAACAAAAAAAGGAAAGAAAGAAAGAAAGAAAAGAAACCCTGTAATACATTAGCTAACAACTCCCTATTCCCTAACCTTCCCTACCTGTAGTAGCCACTTTTTTTTTTATAATTATTTAATTGTGTTTATTCATTCTTTTTATATTTTTTTCATTTTTAATTTTTTTATTTGACCAAAGAGAGAGAGAGAGAAAGTGAGAAAGCAAGCCACCAGGTCCGGGATTCAAACCGTGGTCGACGATGTGGGAGTGTCCAGCACCTTAACTACCACACCACCTGCTGGTCCTAATAGCCACTATTCTACCCTTTCTTATAACCACCAACTTTTTAGTTCCCATAAATGAGCAAGAGCATGTGTTACTTTTCTTTCTGTGCCTGGCTTATTTCAATATAATGTCTTTCAGACTCTCTTGCTTCAAATTACAGGATTTCATTCTTTTTTATTTTTTATTTAACTTTATTATTATTTAACTTTATTATTATTCATACATTAAATTGCTATACATCATTTAGATTGTGAAGAGACTTTACCCAGCATGATATACACCTCAGTCCAGCCCAGTTGAGACCACCATACACATCCTCATCAACAGATAATAAACCTTATCTGTGTCCCACAAGTGTCTTACCTCTCCATCCCCCCCAATTTCCTTCACGCTTCCCCTCTCACTCTTTCTACTTTGTCTCTAGTGTCCATTACAATTTTTAATACTTTTATGTTCTCCAGTCTTTCTATCTCTACCATAGAGTGCAGACAGTCGGTATATGTTAAGTGGAGACATGCAATCTCTCTCTTTCATATCCTGCCTTGCTCCACTCAGCAACAAATCTTACATATTAGTCCACTTTTTTTTGGGGGGGGGGTGGAGAGATTTTCACTGTAGGGCGCGTGCGCTCGCCAGACAGACAGAGAGAGACATAGAGACAGAAAGCGAGAAATCACCCCCCAGGGGGGATGGTCACGCTGCAATCCCTTCTCCATTCTCCTCTCGGGATCTTGGGCACGCACGCACACGCGCCCGGCGTGAGTTTTAAGCCACCGGGTCTGGGACACGAACCGCGGTCGACTACGTGGGAGTCCAGCGACATAGCCATTACGCTAACTGCTGGTTCCCATTAGTCCACTTTTTCATTCCTTTTAATGGCTAAACAATTTTCCATTGTGTGTGTGTGTGTGTGTCTCATATTTTCTTTATCCATTCTTCTGTTGATAAAAACTTAGGTTGATCCCATATCATGTCAGATTTTTCTTTTTGAGATTTTTGCTATAGTGCATATGTGCCCACTAGAGAGACAGAAACCCAGAAAGCTAGAAATCACATACACACACACACACACACACACACACACATACACAAACACACACACACACACCAGGGGGATAGCCATACCACAGTCCCTTTTCCTCCATTCTCCTCTTGGTATTTTGGGCACACACGCACACGCACCTGGCATGAATTTCAAGCCAACGGGTCCAGGACTCAAACTGTGGTTGATGATGTGTGAGTTCAGCACCTTGAGCACTACGCCACCTTCTGGCCCCCATATTTAGGCTATCGCAAATACCACTACAAAAAAAAACATAGGAGTGCAGGTACTGCCTCAGCATATTGATTTTCTTTTTCTTTTTTTTTTTTTTTTAAATTGTATAGGCAGTAGTAGTGGGATTACTGGGTCATAAGGTAGTTCTATTTTTATCTTTTTAAGGCAACTTTATACTGTTTTTCATAATGGCTGTACTAGTTTTTATTCTCACCAAGAATGTATTAAGAGTTTCCCTTTCTCTGCATGCATGCCAGCATTTTTTGTATCTTTGATAACAGACATCCTAACTATAGTGAAGTGGTATCTCATTGTGGTTTTGATTTGCATTTCCCTTATGATTAGTGATGTTAAGCATTGTTTTCATAAACTATTTGGCTATTTGTATGTTTTCTTTGGAAAGATGTCTATTCAAATCATTTGCCCAATTTTTTTTACTCCCATTATTTAGGTTTTTGTCATAGGATGTTTGCACTTGCGGGAGAGAGCCAGAGAAAGGGAAAGTGAGAAATCACTCCAGGAGGGGTGATTTGTATTGTCAAACTACAATCCATTCTCTTCTTGGGATTTTGGGCATACATGCACATGGGCCACCATGATTCTCAAGCCACTAGGTCTGGGTTTTGAACTACAGTCGACCATGTGGGAATCCAGAACCTTAACTACATCCTAATCCCTTGTTGGATGAATAATGTTTTCTCCCATTCTGTAGGTTGTCTTTTTATGCTGTTGATTGTTTCCTTTGCTGTGAAGAAGCTTTTTTTTTTTTTTTTTTTTTTTTTTTGAGAGAGAGAGAGCTTTTCGCTATAGGGCGCGTGCGCTCGCCAGACAGACAGAGAGAGACATAAAGACAGAAAGCGAGAAATCACCCCCCAGGGGGGATGGTCACGCCGCAATCCCTTCTCCTCCATTCTCCTCTCAGGATCATGGGCACGCACGCACACGCGCCCGGCGTGAGTTTTAAGCCACCGGGTCCGGGCCGCGAACCGCGGTCGACTACGTGGGAGTCCAGCGACATAGCCATTACGCTAACTGCTGGTTCCCCTGTGAAGAAGCTTTTTCATCTGATATAATCCCACTTGTTTATTTTTGCTTTAGTTACCTATGCTTTTGAGGTCTTGACTTAAAGACATCTTTGGCCCGACCATGTCCTGAAGCATTTTCTCTATGTTTTCTTTCAGAATTTTTATAGTTTAAGGGTTTACATTTAAGACTTTAATCCAGGGAACCAGCAGTTAGCGTAATGGCTATGTCGCTGGATTACCACGTAGTCGACCGCAGTTTGCGTCCCTGACCCAGTGGCTTAAAACTCACGCCGGGCATGTGTGTGTGCGTGCCCAAGATCCCAAGAGGAGAATGGAGGAGAAGGGATTGCGGCGTGACCATCCCCCCTGGGGGCGATTTCTCACTTTCTGTCTCTATGTCTCTCTCTGTCTGGCGAGCACACGCACCCTATAGTGAAAAATCTCTCAAAAAAAAAAAAAAAAAGACTTTAATCCAATTTGGGTTGATTTTTGTTTATGGTGAAAAAGAGAGATCTAGGGGACCAGCAGTTAGCATAATGGCTATGTCGCTGGATTACCACGTAGTCGACCGCA